AGACGTCGAGGGGTCAGGGACCTTCAAGCTGTGGTGCAAGCACAAAGGGGTAACGTACAGGAAGGGCGTGAGACTGATGAAGTACTAGGGACACCTGAGGGTGCAGATGCTGGTAATACAGCTCCAGTTAGTAGGAGGACACGTCGTAAAGCAGCAAGAAAATCTAATGGAAAAGCGACAAATGGTATGTTGCGTAAAATAACAGGGTTAGGTACAAATAAATGGATATTTATGACAGGCACTATTACATCGCCTACGACAGAGGAGTCTGTAGCATTGCCTGCAGTTCCTGAGGACAATGCGGATATCGGCATGGTAGCAGGTACTATTCCGCATACAAAGAAGGCTAGGAGGACGAAGAGCAAAGGTGCGGATAAGGTGGACATCAATGTGAACGCAGGGGTGGGGAGGTGGTTGACCAACGCACCCATCATGAAGAACGAGGCGGACGTCTACGATTTCCTTGTGCGCCTGATGTACTTCACCGATAACAAGTACCTCCAGACTCTTCCCACTTTCCTCAGGAGTCTAGCAGATTCTGAAAGCCTTCGTACTCTTCATGGGGCATACTCAGATGGCACAGCCTCAATCGAGGAGCTCTGGGAGCGTTGTCAAGAACTGGATCAGGGACTTCAACTTGTCAGAATCTTTAGTATGATATCTAATATGCAGCTCTTTCTACGTACTCATCGGTAAATCAAAGCTGCATGTCCAAATATATCATTTCTGACTGCTTTGTGATGTAGTCTGCAAAAGAGAGACTCCCTTAGCTATAAGCAGCTCTGGGATCGTCTCTTCCATAGGGGATATCAAGCGTCGTTCAAAAAAGCAATACGAGAGGGTAGTGTTTTGGTGGAGTTCGTGAAAGCTTGTGAGTATGCACAGTGATCAACCCATACTTTAATAATATTTGCCTTAGGTGGCCTGAACATTCTCATCATGTTCGCACATGCCGAGATGCACAGTAAAATCTACCACACCAACAATACGGTCATTAATGCTGTGACCGCTTGTATCATGAATCCTCAGGGTATGAATCACCTTAAATCTGAATTCTTCATTGACTGATGAGATATTAGATGACAAATGTGGCATGCTGGTGAAGGATCGTCTTATTCCTTGCCTTCGCGCTCTCTCTACAAGCGTCTGCTTTCATGTGGATGGGCGCATGGATGTAGATGTACCACACCCTCTCTGCTCAAAGAATCTCTATGGAGTTTGTGAATACCTGTCCCAGGTGGAACAGAAGTGAGTTATTCTATTCATAAGCAATCACATTCAATTAACAAGAGTAAAGTAATTTTTCTCTGCCTCCCCGCAGTGATGTATGGGGAATGTGGTCAAACTCATGCAGCCTTGACACTGGGGACCTTGGATTTTGGGCACATGTGCCTGAAAACCTGGTTGATCTCCTGTCGAATCTCCTGCCAGTCAAGCGTCTACCTCTCCCCAACAAAGTCTTGACAGTTACTATGCCCTACACCAGCTTGGGTAAGAAGCATCCCTTGAAAAGCTGTAAAGCAGATAAGGTCAGAGAATGGACAGAAGCAGAGAGGGAAAAAGCAGAGGATCGCAGGAGATTTGATACCTTTGAAGAATTCAAAACATATGTATGTAAATTTGGCTAATAGGTATCCACATTCACTGACTAATTTATATAGTTACATACATTGACAGAGCGCCCAGAGAACTATCTACAGATGCCAGATGTAGAAGAGAAGCTGTGAGCATCGTCTGAGATTTAGGTATCAGGACAGTGCAATGATAGATTTTTAGGACGGTCCGCATACACGATCCCGATGGTACCCTCTGTGTTTTGTACTCTGGTCACCTACGTCAAGATCCTGATTTACTGGAGAAGATCACAGAAAGAATGAAGGCTCGCTATCCGCAGCTCACAGATGCAGATTCCACCGTTCCTGGATATGTCTTCTACTGCCGACATTACACATGGTATAACCGTTACAACCAGAGCGTGCGTAGCACCTTGAAAGAATGAACAGAGTTGATTCTAATTAGAATGACAGGGTGATGGTGCACCAAAGGATGTACATCCATCACAACTCACCACTAGTACATGTCCTAGAATATCCCAACGCCTTCCTGAGTTGTCAAAGGAAGCCAGAGAGAAAATAGAAGAATACCAGAATATTATACAGGACCTTGAACCTCTCATTGAGGAGGTTGTGCGACTGGTAAGACCTGATAGGACCTCTAGTCTCTAGTTTTGTATTCTGACCACCTACTATATTAGTTGAAGCAACAACTTCCCACAGAATACGAGATACAGGCTGCATACGGCAAAGTTTTACCCCTCCATGGTCTCCCTCCTGGGATGGTGTTCACCAGCCTTGTGGTGAATGTAGCTGTTGCCACTGACGGCCACAGAGACTCAATGGATATGGACATATGTGTCCTCGCTGCTATTGGTGATTGGGAAGGAGGAGAAATCGTCTTCTACGAGCTTGGAGTGGTCATTGATCTGAAACCAGGAGATATCTGCTGGTTCCGCAGCACAGACATCACTCATTTCAACCTACACTTCAAAGGCCTCAGAGCATCATTTGTTCTGACTAATGATGGTGCTGGTAGACGCTGGGTGGAGAACAAGAATGGATGGCAGCCAACCGGCCATGTTCATTGATATGGCTGCTACACAACAATATTCTGATATAGCATAACTTCAGAAGCAACTGCATTGTCATTGATTCTTTACATTACTCGTGCCAATATAACTATATCAGTCTGTTGGCACCAGGTGCAGAGTGTAGGTATGCGGTGATCAGGAGCAAGGTTGGTAGGTGCCACAAGCCTAGGCGGCTGAAGCGCGACTCGCGGATTTCAACC